TTGGTCACCAATCTCTTGGTAAACAACCGGGACAACTTTGGAAGACAACAACAACAAAGGATGTATATAAGTGTAGCTTCCATATCATATACAGGTAAACCTGTCTATAGCGCCTCCTCTTGGGACTCACCAAAATAGGGTGCTATAGAGGGGGGGAGGTATAGACAGGTTACTTTTAATGTAAAATGTTTACATTTCAATGTTTAAAATCGGGCGCTATAGAGAGGAAGGCTCGATTTAGAGGGGGCGCTATAGACAGGTTTAACTGTATAAAAATACTAGCCGAATGACCCAGAAATTTTCCAAGTTTCGCCGAGTGTATATAAGATGAAGACTTTTTTTAAATGTCAAAATCAACCCAAGTTTTTCAAATAGGTTAATTAAATATACAGATGAAAGTAAACTTATAAAATATATTTTTCTCTGCGATTGTTGCCTCGCATAAAAAACCAACCGGACAGAATTCTACTTTTGTTTATAGAAATAGAAGAATGTCCGTTCTACAAACAAATCTAGAAATACAACAAAATAATTTTTAGCTTAATAAGGATTTTTATTATAATTTATTTATAAATATTAAAAATAAAAAAGGTATATCCTGAGCAGGAGCACATGTGCTTTTTTAGATGGCAAGAGCCCCATCCAGTGGAACAGAAATCAACTAAACGTTGTGATTAACCTGTTCCTCCTGATATTTGGTCGACACATTTTCTTGATATATCAAGAAAAGCCATTAGCGTGGATCTTTTGATCCCAAAGGCTTTTTGAGAAACCAAGAAATGGGTATTTATTTTTTATAATAATTCCAGGTTTAAGATGGACGTGTTAATACACAATTATTATAATTGCTACCCTTTTCCACGCGACCACAAAAAATAATTACTCAATACAGTTAAACCTTCATAGAGCCACAACTTCTCTAAGCAGCGACTTCTTAAAATCGATATGTCTTTTCATCTGATCGAATCTAACCTTAACAAATGACTATCTGAAACCAGAGGTATCCAAAGTTCCAAACGGATATTATTGGAAATTTCTAAAGTATTGTTTCTGACACATTACAGTACCTATAGTCAAAATAGTTTTAAATTTACAAGTACCAATAGTACATTATTCTATAGCAGAGAACGGCCTGTAAACTGGCGGAAACGCTGGGCAGCGTAGCAACCGATTAGCAAGATACTACCATTCTCATTAAACTCATAACTCTGTATGCATTTGCTTTTAAAATTTAAAAGTATTGTGTGTCAAAAATATTAAATATCTGTAATAGCTAACGCACAGAGCCAACACATATTTATAATGTGAAAAAAAATCCTGATAAATGGTGCAATCCATCAGCAACCTTTAGTTGCACGATAAAGAGATGCTCCCTTTTTTCTTTCTTAACATATTTAAAAGTTTTCAAAGTTAAAATTCCCATTCTACATTTAACAGAGGACTAAAAATAAACATTAATGAGATATGACATGTTTAATTAAAAATTAGAGAGTTTACACTTCACTTCAAAGGAAGACCCAAAAATTATTCCATTAACAGTGAAGAATTACGTAATGTTCATACATATGGAAGATCTTGGTGGGTTAATGATTACTTGGCACCAAGTCTCTCTTTCTGAACTTTCCCTCTTGTAATCAGCCGACAACTTCTTGGAATAGACGTCTTAACACCAAATCAATAAGAAAGCCAGTGAAGGCTGAGAAACTGGAAAAGCTAACCGATATTTTATAAAAAATAAAAAATGATCTGGGTCAAAAGGCGATTCATTAAACAAGTTTATAAAAAAAAAAAATTGGAATCCCATACCTGGACAGTTTTATTTTTCCGTTCATCATTACTCTTCACAATTCATCCTTTCATTCTTCATGCCTAATCGTTATTTCTCCTTAAATAATGAAAATTACTATTTTCTTTCTGTAAAAAGAAACATTTGCGGTTAAACGTCGTTCTATAATAATAGACGCATTATATTGTGATATTAAAAAAAATGTAAATTAAGTTTTTGTGCAATAAATTGTAAAAAGAGGAAACAATCCCTCGACATATTTTGAGAAAAATTTGTTTTGTTTTTTTCATTACAGATTAAGGTACGCACTTTTTTATATGAAAATAAAAATGTGTGTGATGTCCCAAAAGCGTATAAGTATTTGTGGTAGAAAAAAGGAGGAATTTAAGAACTAAATAGTAAAGGAAAAGATAGAGTGTTTATATGGTGTCATTGAAGAAAAAAAAACATATTGAAATTGTATTTTATTTGATTTGTATTTTTCAAACTGAGTACATTGGTCACAGTCGCATATGTGTTATACAATGTTGAGAAAAATTTAACCTGAACTGTGTCGATGTAATAACCTCGATTACATCTCACGTCGCTGAATTTACCCCATCGTAGAATAAAGGTATTACACAAGTGAGTGTCAGATATGTATATATTTATTACGAATATTTGAAAATACGAATATCAATGGGATTCATGAAGACAACTGTGAAATATTCATTCAAAATAAAATTAAGGAATATGAGAGGTAAATATAAAATGTCAGAAATGTCTAGCATGTGTTGGATGTTATTGTCAAATATTATTTTTATTCTATGATTGTAATAATCGGTGACTTAAAATCTGTGTTGTCAGGAATGTATATATAGGTGAGAGTTAATAGAGATAAACATTATTGTTAGAGAGATGTTATTGTATTAGTAATGTTAACTTAGATATATTTAGTAATTTATGTTCATTATTTTCAATAAAGAAGATTTATATTTTAGAAAGAGAAGTAATTATATCGATCCATCAACAGCATGCATATATGAGAAATGGAAGAATTACAGGAAAATTAAGATATTTAGGGTTGTTTGTATAACGTTTTTATATGTAGAACCACTGAGCTAAGGTAACATCTTCCCGGTCCACACATCACTCCAGTAATGCATACCTTTGTCCACTCCGAGTGTCAGACAAGATGTCCTAACATGCCCCTCCTTTCATTTGTCTGCAGTAGGCTATATATCCCCATGATCATTTTAAATTTTGAATGACCTTTGTCATTCCTGTTTGTGCTCCTTTCAAGTCTTATGTGTATATTATTTACGAATATTCTAACAATATAACAAAAATATGTAAGTTGAAATTTTCAGCCTCATTTCTATAAAGTAAATATAATAAATATTCAATAGAAACTTGCCAAATGCTCAAGGATTTTCCTGGTTTGTTCCGAAGTGGTCTTTAATGGCAGGTTCGATTATATCAGTCTTTTTTAAAATTATTTATATAACGAGATTGGTTGTTCATCATATGGGTCCTTCATAGTTGTTTTCACGCAATTAGAATTTACTGCGATGAAAATATAATAAAAAGGCATTTAGTTTAAATATTGGTAGAACCTCACGGCATTTTCGCCAGCACTATTGTATCGATGGACATGGTTATAGCAGGTATTTTAAAGTAAAATATTTTCATAGCTATAATCACATTATGTGTTGATTAATTCACAAATATTATTAAATAGTAAGTCTTAAATACATCCATCAATAGATAACGTGTTCCAAATTAATATAAATGTCAAAAGATGATGATAAATATAAGATTTAGATATGATTTATATATAGAGAGAAATGTGATAGATAAAACCGATTTTTAGAACAACCAAAAATGTCAGCCGACATATTTCAGACGACAGCGTAGACGACCTTGAAAACGAAACATACAATACCGGCTGGATGTAGAACGACGCAATTTCATTAGCAGGATCATCTTTTCTATTGACGCCTGAATTTCTTTTAGAGATATCTTGGGTAGTAGATCATGTTACAAGTAAAGCACGGTCGAATGAAACTTGAATCGTACAGAATGAGTAATTGTGTTTAAGGATTTTTACGCGGAAAGTTATATATGGTTTAAAATGTTAAGAAAATCGTTCCAGAAGAATGGGTAGCAATGCAGAAAGATGAATGTGTGTGAGACTATATATATAGTTGTACCAAATTGTTTCCAAACAAACATGTGCTACGAAAGAAAGAAGAAAATTGCAAAAAAAGAAGAGACAAGATACATTATAGTAACTCCCACAAAACACATGTTCGTGAAAATAAGTCAGTAAGATAAAATAAAGAAACCATCTGTAATATAAAAGGAAATGTCATCACTCTCTTTGATAAATTTTTCAACATAGTGATCATTTGGTGCTGAGAAGGTAAAGATGAGGTGCGTTATAGACACTTTGTGATTCATATAAAGTACACGCTGCTGCTGAAGATTTTCAAGCGCAAAAGAGCTGAAGAAAGTAGTTTTGTGTTTATATCGCCGTAGATACCTAAGTAACTAGACTATACTTTTCGAGCGAAAGGATCACTTAGGAATAATCGAGAAAGAAGAAAAAAAAAGTTCAATGATGTCTATATAGATATTAGAGATACAGGTGATAACTTTTCAATTTGTATATCACTAAAAAGTTTGAAATGAAAGAAGACGTGCGTAATTCTGGGTAGGTATAAGAGGTGCTGATGATTGGTATTTAACGCAGCAAGCAATCACCTGGGAGAAAGGGAAATAGAAGAGTAGGCGGACTGTTACCTGTGGAGCGTACATCCATCCACAGCGGGTCACACAACAGGAAGTAGGGGCGGCAGGGAGAGTGAATGCCGTGTTTACCTCACAGCGGCGAGGTACTGACGCATGCGTGTAGGAGCTGCCCTCCGTTACGACACCGGCCGTCCGTACATGGACATCCACCGGTCAACCTCCATCTCTTACTGCAACCTCTCTTATACCATCAGTTAACATGGACATCAACCGGTCAACCTCCAGCTCTTTCTGCAACCTCTCTTATACCATCAGTTTACATGGACATTCACCGGTCAACCTCCATCTCTTACTGCAACCTCTCTTATACCATCAGTTTACATGGACATCCACCTGTCAACCTCCATCTCTTATACCATCAGTTTACATGGACTTCTCTCCACCGTTCAACCTTCATCTCTTACTGCAACCTCACGTCGTATCCTACGTGGCCTAGTGGATAGGATATCTGGCTTTCATCCAGAAGGCCCGTGTTCGATTCCCGGCGTGGGAATTTTTTTTAACTCCGCCTTTGCCGGTCCCAAGCCCGGATGAAAAAGAAGGAGGGGGAGCAGTAACAAGCTTGGTAAAAAAAAACCTGGGCTCAGCTGGCCCGGCTGATAGTAAGGGCTCCTAATCCAGGAATACAGGATGAGCAGCGTTTGTACTCCATGTTAGGAGCGGCTGCACATGGCGTCTGTTCCTCATGTCAGAGGTGGCCATTTCTTTAGTAGCTAAGTCGGCCTGCCACTGAGTAGTGCTCCCAGTCTTGATAACAAAGGCAGACGCATTCTACTTCACCCAGTGTAGAGATAAGAAAGAAGAAGAAGAAGAAGAATGCAACCTCTCTTATACCATCAGTTTACATAGACATCCACCGGTCAACCTCCAGCTCTTTCTGCAACCTCTCTTATACCATTAGTTCACATAGATATCCCCCGTCCAATCTCCATCTCTTACTGAAACCTCTCTTATACCATCAGTTTACATGGACATCTCTCTCCACCGTCTAACCTCTATCTCTTACTGCAACCTCTCTTATACCATCAGTTTACATGGACATCTCTCTCCACCGTCTAACCTCTATCTCTTACTGCAACCTCTCTTATACCATCAGTTTACATGTACATCTACCGGTCAAACTCCATCTCTTACAGCAACCTCTCTTATACCATCAGTTTACATGGGCCTCCACCGTCAAACCTCCATCTCTTACTGCAACTTCTCTTATACCATCATTTCACATGGACATCCACCGGTCAACCTCTATCTCCTACTGCAACCTCTTTTATACCATCAGTTTACATGGGTATTCACCGTCCAACCTCCATCCATATCTTACTGCAACATCTCTTATATTATCATTTTGCATAGACATCTACAGTCCAACCTCCATCTCTTACTTCAACTTATCTTATACCATTAGTTTACAAGTCATCCACCGTCCAACCTCCATCTCTTACTTCAAATTCTCTTATACCATCATTTTGCATAGATATCTACCGTCCAACCTCCATCTCTTACTGCAACCTCATTTATGCCATCAATTTACATAGACATCCACCGGTCATCCTCCATCTCTTACTGCATCTTTACCTATACCATCAGTTCACATGGACATCAACCAACGTCTGAAAAAATAACTTTCACGGGTTTGAGCAGAAAAGTAAAAATTACTAGGGCCTATCAGACCAAAACGAGGACACACAAAAGGTACGACAGCAAAAAGCAAAGACATGAAAAGACGCGATAAATTATTAAAAAAAAAAAACAGTACCTATTTTATTCCAGCGTTGATAGGAGCGGACTAGGGTACACAGGTATGCGATTAGATCAACAAATACGAACTAAGCACACAGAGAACGTTATGCGTCTCCACACAACTCTCGGAAAGAGTCCTTTTCATCACTTTTGAACTCGTTTATGTGAAAACACGGCCACATTCGTCTAATGAGAAGGCGTAGGAGATTAGCTCGCTAATCAAATACAAAATATGCAGCAAACTCAAAGGCTCTAAAATGTTTATTTTTGTCAAATAGTTTGACAAAAGTTATCCTCTAAAATAAACTAACCAATATCTAAAACCATCAACTGAACCAGCGCTATATTCACAGATCATGTTAAACGTATTAGGGGTAACTTTACAGTCTTCTTTTCGATGTACATTCCTGATTTCCTAAATAAGTAGTGAAACCAGTGGTTTATGTCCGCTTGCAACGCGACTAAAGTCTATATCATCTCGGTCTTCTGGTTTCAAGGAAGTCACATTGCAACAGAAACAGAACAGTAAATCTTCTTATATCATTAATTCCCAAAATCCCGTCGTAGCCCTTATCTACGAGCGACACTAACCAGAAGCTTATCTCTTCTAGTTCGTTGCCGTTCTCATTGCCACTCTACAGGTTTTCACACGTGTAAATGTCTACCAGTGGCCTGTCAGTGGCACTATTTGTAAAGTTTTAAGTGCAGCGTCCGAATTTTCTTTGAAGGCTTTTTTCTACACTTTCCTATATCAATTATACACACTTGGTTTCCAGTATCATATAACAGTTGCCGTTATTATTCACCTTAACTATTGACAGATTTCCAAACCGATATCCGTCACATGAACGTATGTTGACTATCTCAGCACTATCAAGCATTGCTAAAGCAATAACTGGCTATATCACACATTCAGGTGGACTCCGCCTGATTTTGATCAAAATTTAGTCAATTTTTCTACCTAACCTTTAAGGTCCTTAATGCACTGATCATTTTCGTGCTTCATCCTTTCTATACACTGACAAGTGTCTTCATCTCTTCTTTAAAAGAAAGGCCACCTCTCCGGATAAAATAAACGCCTAAACTATTGACCATCTCCGCACACTAGCGGACTCGAGTCGGTGACAAAACCACCACCCCAGCTTTGGCAAATTCAGAACGCCAACCTGGAAACCATCTTTCCGGGCTAATGGCCATCGTCAGTCTAGAGCAAGATTTAATTTCATGAGATCATACACGGGCTTCATTAAATTGCTCTAATTTTCCAAAGAGGTGTTTATCTAGCTAAGTGGCTATAAGCAAAAATACTGTAAAATGAATGACAAGCTATCCGAGAGGCCAAAATTACTGAGTAAAGTTGGGTAGAATTCAGTTGCTCCAACTGCCATGTGTGATTAGGACAGAGTCTGGTAACATCCGCGGGAAGTGGAAGGCAGGGTGAGTTGCCTCCGGCCGTGTGGATGATCCTGCAAGACGGTGCCAGAGATGCTTGCCCGACCTGACTTGGCCGTAGACGAGGAGGATCTTTCTAAGGCGGAGATTGGAGACAAGTCCATTTAAGTGTACCTAGTTCTTCAATCCATTAACAGCTTCTGGCAATAAAGTATATCGAACTAAGCTGTATCTACAACGAACCTACATTGAACCTTGTGCGTAAGCAACGACCGCTGTAAAGCTTTGTGTGAATACAAATTAAACATATATAAATAACAATAACGTAACAATTTTAATTTTATCCTCTAAATCTGACTATACATCAACTTCTCATCGAAAGAGCATTTCCAGTGTAGATGGGACTTTGGTTTTATAATTAACCATATTGTGTGCCGAGTCAATCTATTTACAGCATGCTGTAAGAGTTAACATACCGTTCTATACCGTCAGTCGGCACCACAAGATTCGATTTCAATAATGATGAGAGTAAAATTAATAATAATACGCTTTTCTCTCTCCCTCTCTTTAATTGTGGAAACTTCTCGAGTAGAAGCAACAATTATACTCTTCTACGTCCATTATTATCTACCTTCACTATAGGAACCTTTAAAACACTATCTAACTTCTCGCTTCAATCTTAACTTCATACTAAACTTAAAAAACCTCAAAAATTCTTTTTAAAAAGTTCAAAAAAAAAAAAAAAAAGAAATCTCAAAAATCTCCCTTTCTCTCGTGCAGAGCTCCGCTCTGAAGGAATTCCTTGACAAGGCAATCGCCCATGTCGGGGACAAAGACTCCGACCTAGGCAAGATGCTTTCCGACTTCAGGGCGGAATGCGACATTGAACGAGACGACACCCAGTGGGATTCGTCTGATACAGATAATTTGTGATTATTTTGTTTTTATACATATTTTCGCCCCATATAATTAACCCTATATAATTGTATATGTACATTGTAATAAAGTATGTTTAAATCAATCTCTCTCTTTCTCTTTCATGTATTTATCATAATATAATCTTATTTATTCATATTTATTTTTTTTCTGTATTTAGCCATATATAATATTATATGAACA